CGTATTTTCACAATTCCGGAACCGGATCTCAGTCATGCATGAATGGATTTTGTTCAGATTTAGTACAATCTGTTGTACATATGCAGGTGCATTTCGGATCAGACCACGGAAAGTGGTCTGCAATTTCGGTCATGATCTGCTTTGAATGTATATGTCACTCAAATATGAACGGAACGGGGACGTGTCATTGACAATGACTTGTGAAACCTGGTAGTGTTCAAGATAGAGAAACTGTGGTTTGTAACACTATTATTTAAAGGGGAAGTCAAGCCAAACAATGAAATGCTCCCCAAGGAAAGAGCTGCACAAATGTAGGAGAATGCAATTTACAGTTTTTGTATATCACTTTTCTTTCCCTAGATATCGATTTTTCACCAATAATATGTAGTCCGCCATCTTGATTCTCCAGCGAAGGATTGTGGGTAAAGTGACATCATATCCTCTGTTGTAAAAAATTGAGAAAATGCTTTTATCTATAAAATGAGAAATACTGATGCGAATTTGTTTAAATTTTCGGTGCATATAATTTATGTATATCATTATAGTAATGAAAATTAGAATGTTACAAATACACATAAAGTGAAGATATTGCCACAAAGGTAAAACAATAATCATTATTTTAGTTATACTTTTTAGTTCCCTTTTTGTGGTCAACAGATTATATATCACCTATATAACCTACTCACATCGATAAATTGTATACATTATTAGGAAATTTGAACATTTGGTAGAAAAACACAAAAATATATATTTTTAGTACTATTGCCATGACAACTATTTTATATGCATGTTTGGCATCGGTACATGCAGGCTACCCTGTTCTAAACTTTCAGTCAATTTGAAGTTCAACTTTTGAAGTTATAGATAAAATCATTTCTAAATTTCTGACAACAGTGGATGTGATGTCATACTTTACCCACAATCCTTTGCTGAAGAACCAAGATGGTGGACTACATAATACTTGTGAAAAGTTGATTATCTAGAGAATGAAAAGTGATATAAATAAACTGTAAATTACATCTTACATTTGCTGAGCTCTTTCATCTGGGAGTATTTTGTTGTTAGCCTTGACTTGACTGGTTACTAATGAGCAATGTTTTAATAATAACTGGGTTTCATCACCAAATTAATACTAGACCAGGCTATTAACATTAAATGGGCACCAAGGGTGTAATTAAGGTTAAATGGCAACCAAAATTATTCTGCTAACCTGACTCAAGTCAGTTGTGTCATGGCTGTGTGCTATGGAAAATGTGCCAGTTATACTAAACTGTAGCTCCTAACAGCTAGGAATGTATCATGAACTGTTGGCGGGGGGGGGGGGGGGGGTATAGCAACTGTTGGTTTACTTGGTGGGAGGAATTTTTGAATTTTAAATACTCATGAGCACTTGGTGCAATTTCCAGGATTGAGTGGTTTCAATTGCCTAACCTTTTATACAGTTTGCTCTCGATGGTGGATAGGGTTGTAGACTGCCCTCTACGGTGGATAGGGATATAGGCAAATTAAAATGCCTGGCATAAGTATGTGGTGGAAGGAGAGGAAGTATCCTGCGAAGGGAAATTCTGTTCTTGTTTGGTATAGAATGGGTGGGTTTTGTTTGCTGTGTTTAACTCAGGAACAGATAAACTGACTTTAGTTTAAGTAAGTAATATCGGTGATACATAACTCATGATGGTAAGAAACAACATAAACAAGTACACTACCATATTTATCCGAGTAAGCGCCCATGCCTGGGCAAACACCCACCCCTAATTTTGATACAATAAAGAGATTGAGGTCACGTCCGGGCATACGCCCAGGGGGTCTTTTTCTACACTTGCAATAAAAAAAATTAAAAAAAAAATATTTTTTGTTGTATTAACAGTTGACTTCCTCAGAAACGATTCAAGCAAATCTTACAGAGAGCCGCGAAGAAAGTGTCGCACCAATCTGATTAAAATAAGATCCAGGTTGGCTTAATTTTTTTTTTTTATATAACTATTTATTTTAATTATTTTTTGACGTACATTTATTTTGTTGTGAGAATTTGTTTATGAAAGCCACTGGAATCTGAACAACTCGCATAGGAACTCTTGAGTCATGATTGAACCAGGCAATTTACTCAGCCTGTCCACTTTCCAGGCTCGTGGCAAATCTACTTGGGAGAATGGCGTCCTATCGGACTGAGGGGCACAAACTGTCGGTCCTGTGTCCCAATCCTGTTTGCTGCCAGCGCAAAAGAACACAATGACTGTATATAATCAGATTTAGAAATGTTGTGTGTGAGTGTTGT